TTTGCACCCTTTTCTTCGAGCCCAAAGGGATCGCGTCAACTTACATTTTGCTTGTGCTTCAACTTGTGACTCGCTTTTGCTAATAGCTTGCTCTGTGAACAGTAGTGGATAGGACAACTGCACGGGCAGTCATCTGATCGTTGAAGGTATTGTTTTTTTCCCTGAACTGCCAAACCACAGATTCCTCCAGGAACGACTGGGGCCTGACACCCATCGAAGGCATTAGCTGCAACTTGGATGCCGTGCTGGCCTACTCTGTCGCTGCGTTGTGTGAGACATATCAGACTGCTGCACTCCGCAAAGAAACGGCGGAAGTGCTATTGTACAAAGCGAAACACAAGCTTCAAAGGCTTCAGCGCCTATTTCTGTGAGATGTTTTGGCAGGGTGATTTGCGCCAAGGCTTGACAGTGTGAGAACACTTGCACTTGCACTGTTCTCACTCGCGTGTGTGAAAGGTCAATGGCAATTTTGCTGGCATTGTGCAAAGACCTTTTGACCTGTGAACTCAGTTGATTGCGAAAGGTGGATGTCTTGAATGCCTGACGAATGGAAGCACCCCGTTGGCAATCCTTCTGGTGGGGATGTGAGTTCTTGAATCCCGGCAGTGGCTCTGGTCCGGAAAGACCCATTTGTGCTCGCCTTATGCAACCTTCAAAGGCATAGAGTGAGATTGTGGCACTACAGGCCATTTGCAGGGGCGCACTGTAAGCACTCCCACCTGTTCTAGAGCACAACATTCTGCAAAAAGTCGAGCACCCAAGGATAGGCACCCTGGCATGACCACTGTGGTCAGTACATGACATCCTTGAAATACAGCATTCGCCACTGCAACCACAGAGCTGAGAAGTTTAACTGTGGTAGCGTGTGGCAGTGTCGCCATGCCTGTCGCTCAATGGTGTGATATCCCGCCTCGACTTGGACATGCCGTAGCCGCGCTCGGCAAAGAATGCTTTGGCAGGAAGAATACCGGTCTCCTTCGTCGGAACTGAGATTGCTTTGGGGTGGTCCGCATGTTCTGCTCTTCTGATTTGTTCCTTCAAGGATATTACTCCTCGGCGATTCCAGACAATGAGTTGGTGGCGGTTGTACTCCCAAAGCTTCTCATGAATGGGGTCATTGAAGAGGGCTGTCGGCATCGTCTGACAGAAGTGCCAGCTCACATCCAAAGGTGTCAAGGCCGTACTTGTTGGCCAATAGCTCCACTGGGCAGTCTTCAAGCATTTCCCAATGATGGCAAATGCTCAGTGGAACAGTAGTTTCAATTTCATTTCCTGCTGACGTGACAAGCCTCAAGGGACAGCGGCAAATGCCTGCCAACTGATTTGCATCGCTGTCTCTGGTATCCATGAGGGATGGTGTTGCAGCAGTAGTTAGGGCTGGTTTGAGCCAATGGCCGCCACCGTTTGCTGCATTGGTTCTGACTGTCCGGTTCGTGCTGGTGGCTCCTTTTGTTCCTCTTCGATTTGGTCGCATTCTGTCGCTTGGATGGGCTTGGTATGGTCCATTGACCCGTGAAACGTTTCAAAAGCTGATTCTGTACGTTCAGTGCACAGGACCTCCATGTCTTGCAAGTGTTGCGAGTGGCAAAAACAACCCGACTCTGCGACACCACTCCGCCTCTATGATGGCATTGTGCTTTGGGAGCGCATAGGGCAGCTCTATTCTGTCCTTGAGGCCAGCAGGGCATCCTCCCTGATTGTACTTCTGGAGCAACTCTTGAGAGGTGGAAGTCAGGGTCCCTTTTTTGGCAAGAAGCGGCCAGTTTGGCCTTGAGAGAACCACTGCCAGTCCTGTGAGGAGCCATCTGGAGATGATCTCACTTGTTGCCAATGGAACGAGCTGCATATGTGTCTTTAGCTCGGAGGAGGAGGCTTTGCCTGAAGGAGAAACACCCTTGTCCGTCCGGCGGTACATACTTGCCATCTTCAACTTCTTTTGTTTCTTCTTCCACTTTATTTGCACTATCGAGTGCGCCAGAATCGTCTTCTTGCTTTGTCAAGGGAGGCTGTGGGGGGTAGCACAGCTTGCCGTACGTCCGGCCACACTGGCACCTCAATTCGAAGAGTGCTCTTGCAGGTAGATTGAAAGGAGACAATTTGGCTCAGGTTCCCATCTAGCAGACCTTGCCCGTAAGCAACAGCAATGCTGGAAGTGTCGGGGAGAGTCGCACTATAGGAGGTGTTTGGACGACACTCATTCTGACAGGTGCCCACCACTGTGTACGGGCTGTTTGTCTCACTTTCACTATTGTGCTCATACTTCCCTTTTTCCTGAGTGGCTTCTGTGAAGTGCAAGTCTGTTCTCATACGAGCTATCAGTTTGTTGTGTACTGGCTGGACCGGAAAATAGACATGCAGGTGAGGGAGGTCTGGCGTGCCCACGCGTTGATTGCGGCCGAAGGACATTACTACTGTTTGCATTAGTGCTAATGTTTTGCCTGTGGCCTCTAGATCCCGCACGCCTCCTTCTTCCTTGGCTTTCTGCACTGGACGCCCGTTGGCTTCTTCAATTGTCCAGCCTGCCTGCAAGCTTCTCGAAACTTTCTCTTCTCTGAGAAATCTGCTGGAATGAAGGCTCTGGCTTTTTTTCTTTCTTCCGGCTCTTGCAGATATTCGCTTGGGGTTGGAAATGTTCACATGAGACACCAGGACCGGTGTTTGTTTCACATTCTTTTTCAGAGTCATTCTCTGAAGACTCACCTGCGCATAACACCTTCTCAGGCTCAGGAGGCGCCTCAGGCTCATCAGCCTCATGGTCTGCCGTGTCTTCTCCAGCGGGGATCCCTTGCTGTGTCTTTTGCAGAGGAGGAGCTGCTTGATGAAGAAGATGATGAAGATGATGAAGAGGATCTCGCATTACTGGGCATGGTGGCCAAGGTGACCACAGCTGTGTCAGCTGAGTAAGCACGATAGTTTGTTAGAGAAACGCGCAACACCTGCGGGAACAGCGCCAGCAGAGTCTGAACGAGTTGAAGAAGAGAGGGAAGAAATCAGCGAGAGCCAAAAAACAAAGAATGTTCATGAAGGGCTTGAATGTTCAGAGCCTATGCGCCATCAAGTTCTCAGGGAAGCTGAACGGGATCAAGGTTTGCCAGCTCCAGGCACAAGCCACTGCCCAGAAGTGGCACTTGCTGACGGAACATCAGCAAAGGACAACATATCAGCTGAAGGACAGCATGAATATTGCTCTGGCATTGGCTGACCAGGTAAAGGGCTGGAAAGCTTTGCCTCCAGATGCTGTGGTCAAGAAGATACAGCAGGAAAAGGAGCTGCCCCGCTGGCAGGTGCCAGGTCAAGTCTTAGAGGCCCGGGACATACTGCAACTGTTTTTATTCCTTGTTTTTGGCTAGGGTAGGCGGGGTTGCAAAGAAACCACAGGTCCTTCAAGAAGAAAGAACATTGGATTTTGATGGATTTTGATCCACTCCAAAGTGATCACAAACCACAGGTCCCAAGTCATCCAGAAGCCACACCTGTTCTAGTTGCAGAGTGGCCCTAAAGGAATTGGACACCGCCATGGTTGAGTTTCTTATGGGCAATTCCTTGGTCACCCAGCGCAGGGACATCGTCTTTGCACGGCACTGCGCAACTTGCAAAACCAAGTGGGCTATTTTTTTTAGTCCAGACTTACCCAGGATGACATAGGACTTGCAGGCGTCTGTGTGTGTGTGCATACCCAAGGTAGTGACTGTGAACCGCCTAGCCAAAGAATACAACACCGGCTTGGAAGCTGCGAAGGAGGCAGTGCATCAGCACAACCAAAGGATGAGAGCAGAACTTTGCGAAGCTGGCGTGCCCAAGAAGCACATAGCCAAGGCGCTCCTTCCAGAGCCTATGCCCTGCCCGGAAAACTTAAACATGCGATTCGTGCGGAAGTTCTTGTCCGCATTTCATTGGAAGCAGGCAAGCCGCAACACCAGCGGCAATTATCTGGCCTCCTGTTTGAAAACAAGCCGGTGTGTTTTCTTTTTCAAGCCAATGAGCCAAAAGAGTTTTTTCTGTTTGAAATGAATGAGAGGATGGGGAGTCATTGATACCTACTCATGAAGTGTGCGCACAACTCCTGTGTCATATAGCCCAGCTCAGGAGTGGAGCGATCCACGGCTGGAGGGAAGTAGTCAAGGAGATACAGAATGGTGTCCACAAATGGTTGATATTGAACCTGGACCAGGTTTGGCGTCAGTCTTTGAGATTTGGGAAGAAGGTCCTGGTGAAGGGGACCCAACGTGCCTTTGATAGGTTGGATCCGTCACAGCTTTACTCCCGTTACTTTTCACTTGTATCTCCTTCCGGGTGTGGTGACACAGGACTTGCATGGACTTGCGAGACCAACTGAGGAGCCAAGCAGCATGACCACATGATTGCAAGAAGTGACGCATTCGCCACTGCTCGGCAGTCTATCACTGCAGTCACAAGCTGTTGGTCGGACGGGACCAGAGGTCCCTTGGGATTGTGCTATCCTTCAGGCGCCTTTCCTCAAAGCGAAGTGGACAGGTTCAATCAGAAGTACGAAGGCATTTGCTACATGTTTGAGTCTGAATCAAAGAGTCATTTCATGACAGGAAATACCTTTCAGACATTGCTCCGGGGATTGTTGACGCCAGCATATGCTATCAAGCGTAAAGCGCTTGGCTTGACCATCAAGGATCGAGGACTCCTGCTGACTGACGCTTGGAGCGGGTTCCATTGCTACAAGACTGGATTGAACCACGCCAGAGAGGCGTGGTGCCTGAGCTCCAATGTGAAGCTGCCGGCCCTCCAGGTGCGGGTTCCACCTTTGCTTGACTGAAGCTTTTGCCCAAATTTGTTTTTACTGGGGCTTCTCCATAGGTACCAAACATGCTGACCTAGGACTTGTGGGATTGTTCTGCCAAACTTGGGTTCAAGGTTCGAGGTACTAGATGACCTGGGACCCACCCCATCGCTTGCTTTGCCGAGGCCGGAGGTTGGTCGGCAAATGCCCAACCAATCGACCAGGTGCATCATATCCTCCGCATGCGCCTTGACATGAGCGACAGCAGTGACCTTGGATGCTTGCCTGATCTCCGTGACAGGGATCGTTTCGTGGCTAAATTTAAAGGACAAACACAGCATCCCGTCCACAATGTCCTGAGAGTTGTGGGTATGGTTACTGGTTGTTAGTGGGGATTTGAATTGCATGACAATACTATGCAGCGATGACTGGTTTTACCTCATGGTAAAAGCCACATCCAAGGCTATCAAGCTCTACCGGTGAAGGCCAATGGCCAGGTCCAAAGACCAAAGGCCTTCAACCTCCAGTTGCCTCAAAGAACGCTGGCTGCGTGGCAGTCAATGTCAGCTACTCAGACACACACGCGTGCGCAAAGCAATTGAAGTCATGACGCGGGAGTTGTGGCTGCTTTTTGTATTGCTTGTACACAGACACACACAAATTTATATATATATATATAGGTAGGAGATACTGGCAGTCTATTAAATTAGATTCCTGTGACTTGTGCAAGGCCAGACGAGTGCTTTGTATCTGCATGGATTGCGTGTGGCTACTTTGACGGCAGCCACTTCCCAGATGTCAGTGAGATGACCCAAAAGGATGCCATTGAATCCCTCGACCCGACTGGCTTGATGAGGCAAGTTGGCATCCCTTCGGATCATGCTGGCGAAAGCGTCAGTGCTGACAGGCAGCTCCATTCTGCCAAGTTGGCAACAAGTTTTGAACACAGTCCCTCATGAGATAGGACTTGTAGGAAACACAAACATAACGCGCACAAAACAAAGCAAAACACACATTCAATAGCGTTCTATTTTGTGGCTTTATGACCTGGGAGTTCCTGTTAGGTGGTACTGGTGCGTCAGGATGGAGGATGGCAGAGTCGCTGCACTGCCCTCCGTGATCGGAAATCAGGTGGAGAGATTGGTCTGCCGCCATCGACGCGACCGGAAGATGATAGTGGACAAGATGCCTACAGATTGGGAGAAAAAGCTTTCCACCATCAACAGCCAGACCATGTCAATCTGCTGGAATCGGAAGACTTGCTCCATGGCAACCCCTTGGTATGTGAAGAAAGTGACAAGGATGGTGCATGGCAAGTTGGAGTTTGTCCCAGGGTCAGGAAAGGGGTACGAGTTGATATACCTTCGCTTCACACCAAGTGATGAAAAGGATCCTGCTGGTCGTGGGACCTATTGGCTAAGTTCTGCCAACTATGAAGCCCGACCTGTTTGCTGCATGAACTCCACAGCAGATAGGAGCGGATTTGACTTGTTGAAAGAAGCGTACGCAGGCGTGGAGAGATGACCTGGGAGTTGTGTTACAGTTGTTTCTTCAACATGTTGATTTTTCACCCTGTTAATGTTCTCTAAGTAAAAAAACATAAGCATTTCAATCACACACGGTGAGAAAAAATGGCACCCACATGACCTGGGAGTTGTTGGTTGATGGTGTTCTGGAAGATGACAGGTTTTCCACCCTACTTAGGACATTGATGACTTGGGAGTATTTTCAAGGTGTTGTTCTCAATGCTGCTAGGTGATAGTGATGCTTCTGTAGAAGACGAAGATGATGCCGTCAACCCAGAGGAGGAGGAGGAGGAGGGCACAAGCGGCATGCAGGCGCCAGAGGATGTTGTCGCTCACGACCATGAGGATGCTACACCAGGAGAGTCAGAGTCAGATGGATCAGCGCCAAGTAGCGGAATGGAGGATGCTGACTTGGAGTCTGACGAATCAGGGGAAGAGGAGGAAGTGCAGGGATATGAAGGTGAGAACGGGGAGACAAAGGAGCCCATTGAACAGGAGAAGCCAAGCAGCAGTGTCAAGGTTGTTGGGGCACTTGGCCCCAAACACAAGGCCTACCACACGAGTCCTGAATGGCTGCAACTCCTGGAGTTTGAGAAAGAGAAGAAGGTCATTTTGAGCAAAATTCCAAATGTGATTGGTGCTGGGGTGCACCGACATCCATCTAAGTGTTTTTGGACCGCGATCTACCCAGCATGTTCGATCAAATCGTGCAGTTGGGGAGCTTCACGGACACCACTCGAGTGTTTGATAAAATGCATCAAACACATCATTAAGCAACACCTGATTGCTTATCCTAACAGCTCAGAGGATTCAGAATGGAAGAGCCAGCTGCAATCCTTGAGCGATCTTATTTCAAGTAGCTGAAGAAACAGCTCCAGTGATCTAGTTCGCTGAACCGCACAGAGAAGTGAAGAAAAGAAGAGGAAAAAAGACACTCTTTCGTTTCAAGTCCCATGTCATTAGGTGCACACTGTTCTATTTGAGGAGTTTGGTGACCAAGAAACGTTTTGCACCAAATGTTGTAATTAAGGTACAAGGCCATCTCTCTTGGGCTGCAACTCCCATGTCACCCGCTTCACACTGCAATGTTTGAAGAGTTGGGTGAGTCTATGTGAGTCTCTTATTTTATGTGTGAGGTGTTGCCATTTGCTTAAAATATGGTTGCAAGCACTGGTGACCCAGGACTTCTGTGCTAACTTGTCCCATGTCATCTAGGTTAAACCACCTGGGGTTCCAGTCTCATATTTTTTTTGAGGTGTTGCCATTTGCTTTAAAGATAGTTGCAAGCACTGGTGACCCAGGACTTCTGGGTACAAGATTGCTAACGTGTCCCATGTCATCTAGGTTAAACCACCTGGGGTTCCACTTTGCCATAGTCCTAGGTCATTTGTCCATTTGATACCTTTCTTTGTGCAAGTCCTATGTCATCTCTCTAAAACCATGGTTTTTCCTATGTCCGCCAGGTCCTAAGTCATCTGCATCTAGTATAACCAGTGTACGTTGGAAGTAGAAGACTCCAATAGAAACTGGAAAATTATGATTGTCATGATCATTATTTGCGGCTTTGCAGCAATGACCATAGCAATGTGGATGTTGCGGAAGTATGTGGAAGAGAGAATAGAAATTCAGAGAAGATTCACCTTGGGCAAAGTGAATGAATTGGAGATTTTAGTGATAGACGTAGAATACCAATTCGACAGGAGAGAAGAAGATGACCATCCAGTCAACTTGCTAACAGGCCACACAAGGAGAGATTTCACTGTGGATTGATTGTCAATGGAGGTCTTGTAGAAGAACAGCAGTATCAAGAACCAGATTCCATGCACAGACAGTGCCATGATATGATCTCTGAGGCAATGCAGCAACTTAGCAAGAAGAAACTTAGAGCATGTGAGAGCTACAAGAGGACAATTTTGTATGTCACTCAAAAGTGGAAATCCAGAGTATGTTAGCAACATGGAGCATGAGGAGGAACAGAGAGCAGTATTGCGTGGTAGACTTGAGGGCAAAATGAACAACTTGAACAGGCAACATGAAGTACTAGTGTACAGAGGAAAATTTGCCCAAGCAGATGATCTTGATGGTGAAAGTGCTTAATGTCATCTGATGCCAAATGAGATAAACTCAAGATGAAGGACCTCAAGGAACTCCTTTCCTTAGAGGGGAGAGTAGAACGGGTGTATAGTGGCGGCAAAGTGAACTAAAAGAACGAATTAACATTCACCTTACCGAGAAGGAGTGAGTAAAATTTGCAGTGTAGATCATAGACACTTTTCACCTTTGCTCAGCCCTTTTGAGTATCAAGAAAAGGATTGCAAAATAGTTTGGTTGCAAAATTTTCAAAAAGCACCACAACCATTTGTACTCCATTTGTTTGGCTTAAGTGCGCGGAAACAGAGTGAGCGTCGTTTTGCTGCGCTGTATTTGCTGCTTGAAAGTGTTTTCTTGTTGTGTCAACGTCAACGGAAGCGGGTTGAGTTCGTTTGGAAGCGTTCAAAGTCTACCCAAAAACGGTGGTAGGTCTTTACGTGGTAGCGGAGTTCCGGAAACGAGCGTCGGTCCAGGTCAACGTTCTGTTGCAAGAGGAAGCAAGGCAACAGGTTGAGATGTGGTTTTGTTTTTTAAACGAATCGTCTATTTGGTCTATGACTGTGTGTCGGAGGAATGGCTGATGCGACAAATTCTGGGAGAGAACGATTCAGGGAAATGTTATGCACTGATAGGTGTAGAGCAAAGCATCTCACTATCGGGTCAACACAACCGTCGAATTGTCCGACAGGACTGGAAAAGGCAGAGGCCGAAAAGGTTCGAAAGCGAGATCGTGGGGGTGAACAAGGAGGAGCGACGACGCCGTATGTATCCCCTATAACCCGTAACACGTGCACCCCAGCGCCAAGTACTGATACAGGTCTGTCGGAACCCCAATGGAACCAGCTTCTTCAGATGACTTCACAGCAGTTAGAGACCATAGGTGCCGGAACTTTGATGAGACATTTGAAGCTCAAAGAGCATGTGAATGCACCGACGCAATGAAAACACAAATCCTGTGAGAAACCAACACCAAAAAGGTAGGACCAAAAGGTTCAAACACCCCCAACATACCTTTTCAGTGGCCTATTCCATAAATTAAGCACATTTTGAATATCCATGGATGCTAGTATATGCATATGTGACCCTGGAGAAAAAACACAAGTAACAACACCGGTGTTTCTATCTGGACGCAACGCGTTGGGTCCAGCATGCGGGGGGGTCTACCACGGTGGCCGACTGCGTTTTTGTATACACAGTATGAACATGCCAAAAAGGATTTTTTTCCCATTTTTTTCGCCCAAAGATGAATCTCCCACCTTCAGACGTCCGAATTCTCGCACTCCGGCCATGGACCGCGCTCGCTTCGCACCATGACGGGGGTTTTGGAGGACGGATGGCAGATGGCGGAAGGGGCCGGAAAATGGGTTGGTGAACTACATGGTTTAGCTTTGGGTGTTTCATCCAAAGCTGGAACATCTGGCCATAAGCATTTTTGAGTCGCAACCAATTGTGCTCAAAAAAAATAATGGTTAAGCATTGTTCACCGCATTGAAAGAAAAGGTGTTGAACGTGACGAAAAGGAAGAGATGATTTGGGTCCGGTGAAACTCGCCATTTTTTGTATCTGTTTGTTTTGATCTTGTAAACGCACGGATTTATCAGGATCGTCGCCTGAAAAAAGGACATTGGCCTAGCATGTTTTCTTCGGTCAGTTTCACATAGCACTTTGCATGTCTTCGATCGAACGAGTTTTTCATACTTCCTTGGCTTTCCTTCTTGGTTGGTGTCATTTGGCGGACATCAACATTACGTGATGGTCGTTGAAAAACGGCGAAACCACTTGCTATAAGAAGGTAGTGGCGGACATTTGTGCAACGGAGCGAAGAGGTTGGCTTCGTTTGATGGGGTGTACTTTTAAATACACATTCGGGTATACCCGGTATATGACATCTAGTTTAAAACATATTTAGACATATCCAGGGTATAGGGTATCTAAGGTACTCCTCATTTTGCGTATTTTTTCTCTCCTTCACCTGTAGTTGGGGTGAACCTAAACCGGGATCGAGGGCATTTCGGGGGAACATCCAAAGACCGAACATGCGGATCAGGTCGTACCCAGGGTCAAGCAAATGAGACAGAAGTCTCTCATTGGCTGAAGCATTTCTTTTTCGCACCCAGTTATAGAACCAACAGCAATCATGTTGCAAAACCGAGCAGAAGGCTTTTGACCTCCATTACTTGTGAGTCAGAGTGGAGGTAGTTGCCGTAGCACTTTGCAGTGCTGCAAGCAGACATGCTGCAGGTTGGCGCTGCTGGCATTGCCATTGCAGCGTTTGCCCGCTCCAGGTGTGTTGGTGGTTTGCCTGGAAGTGACATTTGCAGTGGTTGACTTGAGTATACATAGGTAGCACAGTCATACAGCTTAGGTAGTCAGCAGTTAGCATGTGAGCCCTCATTCCATAGTTGTCGCTTTACATTTATGTTATTGTGTGGACCTAGGCTACCTAGACTCAGTCGACGGTCTTGTGGAATTTCAGTGGGACCTGCGCACTGTCGTGATTTAACACTACACTAGGTGTCCAATGATATGCCAGGCATGAAAAAGAACACGGACCAGGGCCCTGGGGACCCACTGTCAGCCGGCGCCTTCGTTCTCAGCCTCCCAGGCATGAAAAGGAACAGCAGGAGGCCGAAGTGAAGGGTTGGTGAGCTCGCTCTCAGTTTTGGAGAGCCAGTTTGACTGGTTTTAAACGTCAGGCGACTGCAAAACACGATCCACTGTTGCAGAAGCACATACGCGTCGGAAACACAGTTCTGCAACTTGCGACTGATCGGTTTGAGGGGGTTCCCGGCTCTGGCGAACAAAAGAGCGTTTCTCTCTTTGTTGCCACTTGAGTCACTTGACCAAAGATGTTGCGAAGGGTGTGCTCACATTTTGACTTTACAGGAGTGAGCTCCTCGCGATTGTTGAAACTTTTCTGTTTTTTGCGTAGAATCACAGGACATGAGTATGCCAAGAACAGGGATGTATTACTAGTGCGCGCTCGCTATTTTTCTTGAAAAAGGGATGCGTAGAATCAGGTCGGACCGGCATCAACGATTGGTTTTTGGTACATGGCATTGCTTTTGATGGACACCCATGACAGAGGAATCGATCCAGATCACGCGAGCTCCGAGCTCCTCGCCAAAGGCAGAATGAATTCGGGGTCATCAGATCTGCTTCAAGTCTGCTGCAAGTCACGTAGAATGTTGAGAAATCAGGCCTTCTACATGACTTGCAGCAGACTACATGACTTGCAAGTCAGGCCTTCTACATGCCTTCTTGGGGGTTGTCAGGCCTTTCGGCGGGGTGGACATCTCCGTCCGTTGGATCGCTCCACAGACCGACGCGCACTGGAGGCGCGCGTGGCCGCTGAGCTCTACCGGCGCTTCTTCAGTGCCGAGTTGTCGCCTGGAACATGGGTGCGGAAAAGGGAGAGGCTCCAGCGGTAATTTGGGGAAGATGGTTCACTGTATATCGCCAAGCAGTTCTGAGTTTAGTCCTGAGTTTATATATATTTTGTTTTTCTTTTTTAGCCGAAGGTTTCAATCCAGGTTCATGGCTTTTACCCGTGGGTTTTAGAAACCTGCGGCATCTCCTAGAGCCCTGAAGTCCAGACATGTGGGGATCTCTCTTTTGGTCGATCATGGATTTGCATACTTTTCTGTGCGCATTTCGGCTACAGGGTTCACCGCCACAAGCGCGGCAGAAAAAAGTTGCGTCTTGAAGCTACGAGTAACAAAGGGCATCGCTACTAGGAGCAAGAACTCTACCAGTAGCTCTACTAGTAACAAGAAACTACTAGTAACAAGGGTTTTCTTGGGCAGCTTTGACACGGCGCAAAACGCGCTCGTCGTCGACGACGTGTCAAGATGGGCTGCACGAGCAGCACTCTCGAGGTTCAGCCTGTACAGCCCTGCGAACCCAAAAGAGGGCTGCCAAGATTGCTTGGTGCCAAGACTGGTCTTGAATTCCAAGTAGAAGGGAGAGGTTCAGAAGCCAAGTCACCAGAAGAATGCCGAAGCCGCAGCAACAAGGCCTTTGGACCGAGCTGGGAGTTGGAGTTGCTTCGAGTCGGTGAGAGGCTGAAGAAAAAGCTCCAAGATCCACACTTCGTAGCTACTCGTGTGAGTGAGTCTGATGACCTGGAACTACACCAGCTGCAGCAGGCCCTCAAGGTCTTTGGGATGGACACAAAGGACCTAAGCAGTTCTGCGTTCCAAGAAAACCGCATCAGCAAGGAACACTTTGCTCAGATGGTGTCCGCGCATGCTCCTCGCGCGTCGCTGCATCGAAGCTTGGTGTTGCAAACGGAAGCGAAGCGCGAAGCGCCGCGCAGCAAACGGATTTCGACCTTTTTGGACCTTCTGGATCTTGATCAGAAAAAACTTATCAGAAAAACACGCGTGTTTCCGTTTGGGCCAATCTGAGCAAAAGCATGCTGACCACGGTTTTCTCCTCTTTTTGTGCCGCTCGGAATTCTCTAAGTGAGACTAAGTCAATGATTAAGTGAGTATCTGCTAGTACAGCTTCTCTCTTTTGTCCTTTGCGAGGAAGTGTCCCACACTCTTGCGTGGCATGGGCTTGGGTCAACTACATCGCTTGGAAAGCCTCTTCATCGACACTGGCTGGTTGGCTGCACAGTGCAGATCCTTCAACCGAACCCATTCAGAGGCCATCCAAGGGGGCATGGAGCTGGCACGAGCTCCAGATCTCTATGGAATGGACACTTTTGTGGTCACTCCTTTGTCCAAGCCTGGGCCTTCTACCGCCCGGGAACACGATGCCAATGGCGTGATTCCATGTGCACATCGAGCGTCTTCCTTTTCAGAGTTGGTGAATCCTCATGGGCTGTATGTCCACTGCTTTGTCTCGCACTTCTGGGGAAACTTGTTCAAAAGCACGGTCAAGGCCCTTGGTCTGTGGGCGAAGGCCAACTTTGAGAGGATGCAAGCTGGGCAGGCGGAATCTTTAGTGTTTTGGATTTGTCTCTTCGCCCTGAATCAACATGATGTTACTGAAGAGCTGGGAGAGAATCCACTGCAAGCGCCCTTCAATGCAGCCCTGGCACACGCTGAAGCTGGTGCAGTGATGATTCTGGATGAGGACGTCAATCCATTGAAGCGTATTTGGTGTCTCTTCGAAATCTCGCGACTGAACGACCTGCAAAAGCCCTTGGAGCTCATCACGCCCTTGGGGCCCTTGTCACAGGTCCCAGAGAAGTCAGATGTGACAGGCTTCCTGCATTCCACTTGCAGGGCCTTGTCGGAGGTGTCAGCTAGAAAGGCAACGAGTTCAGTAGAAGCTGACAAGTACCGTATTTGGGCAACAGTGGCAGACAGGGCGGGGAGCGAAGTGGAGCGAGGGCTAGGATTGAGCCAGGAATTCTCCAAATTTGACGACCAAATTCGCTCGCTGCTGTCTACAAGCATGCTAGACATTTTCGTGGCCAGGGGGGAGTACGCCTCAGCAGCGAAGTGCTGTGAGTATGGAGCCTCCTTTGCCAAAGAGCACCTCAGCCTCATTTGCTCGAGCTTTGCCAGCGGCCCAGAGCGCACGAGCTGGTTGAACGCTTTGCTCCTGAAGTGCACAGAAGCTCCTACCGCCAAGCTGCTGCTGGAGAACCATGCTGATGTTTGGGCCTCCCACCACGATGGGACCACCGCGTTGATGCGTGCTGCACGCGGCGGCCATGAGTCAGTTGCATTGCTCCTGCTAGAGTATGGTGCGGGACGACCTAGTGCTGATCATGATGACATAGTGCTGATGGCGGCTGATCATGAAGCTTGCTGTTGGCCAATGACCTTAGTCGATGTGGAATATGACTCCGCAGACGTGGAGCTGCCGTTCTTATCAGAGTCTGACTTGGAGGAAGCGGACGTTTCTACGGGACATGATCGTGGCGATGCAGAAGGCGCGGACAGTGAGGGCAACACTGCTCTGATGACAGCGGCTATGGAAGGGCATGAGTCCATGGTGAAGTTGCTGTTGGAGCACCGGGCTGATGCGAGAGCTGCCAACCACGACGGTGCCACTGCCCTGATGGCAGCTGCTCTTCGTGGCCACGAGTCCATGACGAGGCGACTCCTCGAGCACCGTGCTGATGTAGGAGCTGCAAACAATGATGGTGCCACCGCGCTGCTTGTCGCGGCTCTTCGTGGGCATGAGTCCATAGCTAAGCTACTGCTGGAGCATGGTGCTGATGCAGGGGCTGCAAGCAACGATGGCGCCACAGCACTGATGACAGCTGCCCTTCGTGGGCGCGAGTCCATGGCCAAACTACTGCTGGAGCACCGTGCTGATGCACGAGCTGCGAACAATGATGGTGCTACTGCTTTGATGACCGCGGCTACGGAAGGGCACGAGTCCATGGTGAAGTTGCTGTTAGAGCACCGGGCTGATGCAGGAGCCGCCAACGACGACGGTGCCACTGCCCTGATGGCAGCTGCTCTTCGTGGCCACGAGTCCATGGCCAAGCTACTCCTTGAGCATCGTGCTGACGCAGGAGCTGCAAGCAACGATGGTGCCACTGCCCTGATGGGTGCTGCTACAGAAGGGCATGAGTCCATGGCGAAGCTACTGCTGGAGCATCGTGCTGATGCAGGGGCTGCTAACAACAATGGTGCGACTGCTCCAATGGCAGCTGCTTTCTTTGGGCATGAGTCCATGGCGGAGCTGCTGTGGGAGCATATGTCGTGCTGCAGTTTGGATCCCTTCGAATGATTGCATGCTGCATGTCCACCTGTTTTGCAAGGGAAGCGGAGAAAAGCGATGGACAGTGTTTGAACATGTTTGAACAGTTAAATCTGGTCCTAAAGACTGTTCTCATCTCAACAGCTTGATGGCCAAAGTGGATATCGACCACGCTTTGCAGTCCAAGTGTTTTTCAATTTCAATGACATCTCACCCAAATTTGTAGAACCCTGACAAAGACGTAATTCTTTTTCAATCTAGCCAAGCTCTTCTCTTTGATTTTTTGGGGCAGGTTCTTCTGAAGTTGCTGGTGCTTGCGAACACCCTCAATAGCAATCCCCTTTTTCCCAAAGAGCCAGAGACCCTCCTTCCAGCTGCCTAGCTTTGGGTGATCCCAAGATAGGTTGCAACCCTGGGTTGGAACTCTTCCAATCCTTCCATCAGCACAGTCACCTGTGTTCTTCCTCCCTTGCCGCCCCACCGAGGTTATCGAACTCCCCGGAGCGTGTCTCCACGTCGGAGCCTGGAAGCGGCCTGGACGCGAATGCGGCTTGGAGGAACAGACGTCTTAAAGCAGTCAAGGACGCCTAGGCGACCTAAGGCAATCCCAATCCAAGAGTCGGTGGCCGACCTGGTGAATCTGGTTGGCCATGTTTTTCGGCAAATTTGGGCCAGCTCGATTTGTTCGAGGCCTTGGCGGGAATCCGGGCCATCGAACGCTACCAGAAGGCCTCTAAAACCGCGTGGGAGGGCAAGGAGAGGCCGCGCGGCGCTGGGCAGAAGTTTTGGGGAAATCCAGAGGCATTTTTGGGGAGCTTCTTTTGAACTGGTTCTTTGGTGGGGAGCTTTCGATCGACAGAAGCTCATGAGGTATCACGCGCAGAGACAGAGTGCGAGACAGATGAGTTTGTGGATGTTTGAGGCGTGACCTGATCAAAACCTGGAACCTCGAACTGACCCTGATAAGTTGATAGTATCTGATAGTCTATTCTGTTCATGTTCTGTGGGAAAAATGCAGGGTCCTCCGGTTTTGACTCATTGCCATATGGGAACCTGACGGAGCCTGATGACATTCTTCGGGGTGTGCTTTCGCGATGGAGAAAAAATGATCAAGCCAAGAAGCATGACCTTCGAGTTTTTGGTTTTGGTCTCACAGACCTTCGAAGTCATGTCCAGCGTCCGTCTCGTATGGCGTCCGGAAGACGTGCGTCGACCTGAGATCTCGATCTCTTCGTTCGTTTCAGGAACGGAAGCATTGGTTTATGGGTCTCTCGAGCAGCCGGGGGGCCAAAGGGGGTCCTTCTGGGGTCTTGGGGTCCTGGTCGCTCTCTTCCTTTCAAAAGAAGTTCTAGCCTTTAAAGATTGTAGCAGGATGATTGAATTGTTGCACAGGTTCGGCACAGATCATTTTCTTGGATTTGAACACTAACCTCACTTTCTCGACATGTTGGACAGTCTTCCCGAGGGTTGCCCAGTGCAACTGTCCAGGACAAGCGCGAATGTCAGAAGGTCACACTAGCCCTCAAGAAAGATAGGCACTACGCCCAAGCTGTCAGAAGTTCAAGCTATAGGAATGTATCGAATCTGCTCAAGAATGATGATATTGGCTGGAGCTTTCTTGATCCACTTTTGGGCCATTCAGTGGTGTGTGAGGCTGTCACCCCAAAAAATTGGGTGTCACCACCTCAAGCCTGACAGGTGGAGGCTCACCAGCTCTCATGTTCATGCAAAGGCAAAACAACAAAGGATCGCCAGCTCAAACAAGACGTCAGCTACAGCCAAAAATGGCTGTTCCTTATCGCTCCTGTTCAACACGGCAGGGTTTGGATTTCTCCTCTGATTCTGTGGGTGTTTCAGGTTGAAACACCTTCTTCGTTGCTTTCATTCTCTCCCTCTCCCCTTCATCCGTTCCGCGGTCCGGACCCGCGGGAACCCACGGGCGACTCACCGAGGTGCCGAGCACGTGGGAGATACCCGGATCCGAGTCTTGGAGGACGGTGGGGACGGTGGGGACGGGGTCGGTGGGGTCTCTCAGTGAGGTGGTGGGCGTGGGTTGGAATGGGGCTCCGCCATGATCGGAGTGCAGAGAGTTAGCGAAAGGTGCTTTACCTTGTGTGGATCACCTCAAAGGACACATCCAGCGGCCTCAGGTTTGTTTGGTCTCTGTTCCACACAGGGTGATTCAAAGCAGCCTGAGGACTTGGAGAGCGGACATATCGGTCCATGCTTTTGGGTGGCTGTGGCCAGAAATCCCTAAGAGTTTCAACTGCGCGCATGTGCGGAACATATCGGTCCATGTTGGTCTCGTTGATTCTCACAATTCCGGCTGTATGCTTGAATCTTCTTGAATCTTGCAGAGGCCGCAGCCAATTTCCAACACCTACACGCTTTCTCAAGAAACTTACTACTGGTGGGGGAGAACCTGTGCAGAAAACCAGTCTCCTTTTGGGGTCCTATCCAACCTTGTTTGGAAGGCAAGCCCCAAAACGTCCCCACCTGGGCCTGGGTTTTCGGCACCTTTTCGGGCATGGGCCAGGGCCTGGGGTGGATGGCCTGTTTTTTCGGCCTGTTTATTCGGCCATGAACTCCCAGGGTCTTTTTCCAGGAGATGAAGCAATGGTTCATGACGGTCTCCATCGGCCACGCCCTGCCAGCGGCGACGATGTCTCGCCGCCCCTTTGGGACGAAGGGAAGGAGGGGTCGGAGTCCTTCGTGGGTGGGATCCCATGGGCGCGAAAAGGATGGAAGACCTTTTGCGTTCCAGTTTCAGGAGTTTTAGATGTTTTCGAGAGAAAGAGAAGGAGTTGCTTGTTCCAAGTCATATGCTCATGATGCTCATGGACCAGTTTTGTAGAAGATCATCCCTTGTTTGCTTCAAGCGCACAGTAATCGTTCCTATTTCAGCGGATGAACCCACGACCAACGATCCAGCAGGGGCCGAACGGTCGAACTGTTTCACCGCTGCCGCTTCGTTCCTGAACCTTCCGCCTCCGCGGCGGTGGCTCCGCTGTCGGGTTCCAATCCGTGCGCCGGGCCCGAGGATTGGACTATTGCTGGCAGTTCCTGCTCCGCGCCAGCGACTTCGAATCTCAAAACGAGCTCTCGTTCCTGGCCACGCTGGGAGAGGTGAACGGACCCCCCCATCCGCGGGCCGGCGGGCGGGGGCTGAAGTGTCCTGGAGTTGGAGTTGGTCTGACTTCGAAACACATGTTTTTGGGGTGGTTTTGGCGAAGCCAGGGTGATGTAGGATCTCTCTGAATCCAACATCGTATCGCAGGCATGGACATTTTCGAGAGGTGCAATTTGGTTGCTGCTCTTTCTCCAGAAAAGGTTTCCGCTCCCTTGTGAGGAGTCTATGACAATGCATGTGGAACTTGCCTTGAATCCTTTTAAGATCTTAAGTCTGTGAAGTTGTGTGTAAAGCCTGGAGTATGGAAGCCTTTTTCACCGCGGGTTTAGGATGGAGGGAGTTTGCGGCAGCTGCTCTATGTAATGATCCATGATGGTAACGTGGCTGTCTGAAAAAGACCCTATCAGCTTCACGAGATTGGGTACCAAAGTGCCACCAGATGTGCCAGTGGGCTTGCACACGGCCTTTTAGGTGTTTGAAGACTCGAAAACTGGTGTCGACCCATCCGTCGACCCATCGGCGAGGTTTTCGGATTTGGGGTCATTCTACTTTGCATGACTCACATTCACTTCTTCAAGCTACTTCTTTTCTTCACAGCCAAGTAAGCAACACCCAACAAGCTCGCTCGCTGGCCAGAATCGGAGGAGGTTCCGCGCATCGGCGCTTCTAGGAAGCGAGTCGAGGCCGAAGGATTCCAAACGCCCAGGGAGCTGACCTGGGCGAATGTAAGGACTGACCCCTGGACCAGTCCAGCTGGGCCGGGAACTGTGTAACTCCATAGAGCCTGCCCTGCGCCCGGTTTTGGTTTCCGATCCGATCCACGGCGATTCTGTTCTGGCTCCAGGATAGGACTAAGGAGAACATGTCTTGCTAAAGGCGACATGCGCGGAGGAAATTCAGGATGCAACAGGTTCCCAGTGAAGCCGAACAAAGAAGATGAAGTTCGATCCCAGAACCAAGAACATGATGGAGACGTCGAAAGCAACCTGCGATTCGATGTAGACAGCAAGAATCCACCACAAGACACAGAAAAGAGGAGTCCAAGGTTTCGGCATCACTGAAAACTCAGAAGAGTTTTGGCAGATCGACTGAAACAGCGGCCATCCAACCCCAAAGCATGTGGCCCTGGTTCTCTGGGTTTCTGCCCGGCTTTTTGAGGAGGTTTTGGGTGGAATGCTTGAGCGTCCGACCGGGCATCGTCTCCTAGCCGGGCACCCAGTGGGTGGTCTCCTCAACCTGGCGACTCATCACCGGCCCTGCTCTTCAGGGTCCACTTGAGCGACCGGTTCCGGTCAAGCCGTCCAACCCGTTTGGGGGATCCTTCGGGTTCGAGGAACACGAGGCTCGGGTTCGGGCTCGGGGACTCGGGCCCCTGCCAGGGGGTCTCCCTAGTAACATGCGACATCCAACTTGCCAAATGGGGGCGACCCAACAGATGCCGGGGGAGACAGGCATGCGGCATGCAGACGTTTGTGTGTTCCATGTTTATAACGGCTGAGAAAAGGCTTTGATGTATGCCTTTACTTTATAGTGGTCCCCAAATAAATAGTGGCACGGTTTCCAATACATTTTTCTGGGTGGGGATCGACGAACTTCTATTTGTTTGGGGGTATTATATATTATATGTATAAGAATCTTTATGAGTGTTTTGTTCTTCTGGGAATTAGGACTCGCTGCCCATCCTGAGGCCAAGCATGGAGCCTGCACAGTTGGTGTCAAGCTGAGTTGTTACGTCTGTGGGGACGGCGGGAAAGAAGGCGGTTGTTCAGGGTGAAAGTTGCGCTCCAGAAACGATCCCAAAGCCACCCCAACTCTCTAGGCTGAAGCTTTGGAGAAACTGGAAGTAGGGGAACCAAACGAAGGTCGGATGGTGGAATCTCATCCGTCACTCACTGAGAACAGCTTGAGCCACACGTGCTTGAGGCCCAGCTGGAGACGCT